AAAAAAAAAAAAAAAAAAAAAAAAAAAAAGTAATATCAATAAAATATTCAAATTATTCAAGAAATATGGCAAATTATAAAGTAACAAGGATCTTGTTTTGGGAAAAACAAATAAAAAAAAGAAATTTTAATCGGAAAAAAATATTACAAATCATATAACAAATCTGCAATTTGATAGATAAGTATTATCATAGATTATTACCAGCTAGCCCAATAGTTATATTAAAATTACAAGATCATTTTACTACTTAAATTCAAAATATCAGTATATCATATATAATGTTTAAAAGTAAAATAAAAATCTAATTGATGAGAATAACTTGTGTAGTGCTAATTTGATTACATTTCAGGTTTTAAATGTTTCTTTTGCACAAGTTAAGAAAGTACAAGTAGGATTTTACTTACTTATAATAAAGATTACTGTAGATAATTGGCCCTTTACTAATAATTTTTACCTTACTTTTTTCTTAAATTCTATTGGTTAATTAGCTAAAAAGAAAAAAAAATCATAACAATATAACATAAAATTTCTTTTTATAGTAGGATCTGCAAAGAATTTTATATATAATTTTTACCTTAGGCTTGGAGGTGACCTATCTTATAAGTAAGCGGGATCCTGTACAAGTATACTTGAGTATATATTGCAAACAAATTAATAGTAAACTGAATAGTTCTAAGGCTTTTCAGTGCAATTTGTGCAAGGTGGAGATGGATTGGATGCAAATAAGATGAAGAATATCTTACTTATTAAATTGTTAATAAAAGGAACTTGAACCCATATGGAATACAATATGACTAATACTGTTTATTCATGTTGGATTCAATTTCAAAGGATTAGATCCAAATGGAATGCATCATTGTTATTTTCTATTTATACAGCCAATAGACCATAAAATAATGGTAAATTTTGTATAAAAGCTATTAATATTATTAGATGGTAATGATTTAATTAACTTTTAAAATTTTGAATATAAGTCAAATTTAAAGAATTCCCAAAAGGATGATATAAATCAAATTTGTAAGAATGGAAACATCCATGTGAATTAACTTTTTTCTTGATAAATATATTGCTTGAGAATTTCAATCTTTGACATGATTAATAGAAAAGATAGTAAAGATTAAATATATTTAAAAATATTAGAGAATTAATTTTGGAAGTAGTTCATAAAATATATAAGCATATATAACTCTGTTTCTGAGAAGCATGAAAATAGAAAAAAGTGAAGATTTCATATTTCGCTAGTAATAATTGCATAATTCAATTAATTGTTAAACATAAATATTTTGTAATAATTAAAATCCTCTTAAACTCCCATCTCTCCCAGCTGCATATATAAACTTCCCATTATTTATTTCTCGAATAGAATATATTGGATCCACATCAAAACCGATAAATTCTTGTGACGCTTGAGAGATATTGCTTGTCAAGACGGTCGGAATTTGGAATGCAGAACCGTCACCTACAAAATTCAAAGTTACTGTCAATCACACACCAATATGCACATATGTATATTAAACGTACCTTGACCAATTAAAAGGTCACCCGTCTCTTCGATGAAAACCAAATCATAGATTGCTGAATCATTTCTTTGAATTGCAAACAGATCTCTACTAAAAATGAAAAATATATAAGTAATATTTATAAATTATCAAATATAGTAATGTTTACGATTATAATATATACTTTATATTCCGAATATCAAAAACTTCAATAACCCCTTCAGCAGATCCGACAGCGAAAAGGTTATGTTTGGATGAATAGGCGCAAGAGTGCAAAGGTACATTTCGATACGACTTTGTGGTGAATGCCTAAAAAACAAATTTGATTACGACATTTACATTCATAATAAGAAAACAGTATCAAAATATATACATACCTCTTCCTTGCTCATTAGATCAATTCCATTAATACTACCATCTTCTAACACGCATATTACGAGCTTATCATCTGTTGCTACCTCACGTGAATCTAAAAAAGAATAAAATTAAATAGAATAAAATATACGAGAAAATAATTTATTCGCAACGTCATAACTTCTTGATCTTACCCATTTCACTGTTAGATTTTCTTTCGATAATGGATTCAGAAGGAAACAATCCTATAGCAATCTTATTGACAGCACAGGTATAATTTCCCATAGTACGTATAATACTAGACGAACCTCAATTATTTACAAAATATTAAACACTCTGACTTGGAAGGCAAATTCGAAATTAGAGGAAAAATATTATCGTATAAATACCACATTCCCATAATCGAATAGTCCCATCTCGTGCTGAGGCTGTTCATTGAATTAATATAATATTAATATCAACTTTTTAAATACGATATAACGAAAAAATAAACTTACACAGAACATTTCTGCCCTTGTCTATTATGGCTGAGTCGGTCACCCCTTTAGTGTGTCCTTTAAAAGTAACCGGATTACTTCCATCCAATGCTGACCAAATTCGTAATTGAAAATCTGATGCACCACTTAGTATCACTATAAGTATAAATAAATATAGTTATGGAAATCAACAAGTTACAAGAATTAGTAGAATGTATTATAATTTCTGAGTACCTTGCCCGGAAGGAAAGAAACGACAAGTAGTAATATCAGCAACGTGCCCTTTCAATTCTCTCTATATTAGGATGATCTAAAAAATGAGCAAGTGTCATGAAGTGTGGATTAGAACAAATTTATATTACTTACCCTTACACTCCCATCACTTGTGTCACCTACTTTCAGTAATCCGTCATTGTCACCAGTAACGAATAATCCACCACCAGGCGAAATATCCATTGATTTGATCTGTTTAAACAAAAGAAAGAAAGATAATTAAAATTAAACTAAATAAGTTATATGTTTTAAGTACTACTTACAGCAGAATTATGTATCTTAAAGGTAGCTTTTGTTCCTTTGATAATTGTTTTTGTAATTCCGAGTTCCCCACAGGAAACATAAAAAGAATACTAAATTATTTTCAATCGTTATTCGGAAAATATACGACGTAGTCAAAAAGAAATAAGTGAAACTTGACAAGCACATTGGTTATTTTTTCAACTACAATACCATCCTTTCCAGTGAGTTCCACAGAATGAGATTCAACAAAGCTTTTTTTAACCTGAACAGACCCATGAATTGACGCGGATCCTAGAAATACTTTACTTTAAATAATGCGTAAAGAATTATGTATAATTGACTATGGGCGGTACCTTTACGATAACACGACACCCAAAAAGACTCGGAAACAACTGTTCCACGAAGAACATCGGAAATCACTTCCACCCAGTCCGACTGTACAGTTACTTGAGGAATGTGAATTGGGTTATTGATTTCGTTTGGCATTTTTTTCGTTAACAGTAAATTTTTTACAAAATTCCATAATTCCATCTTATCAGCTGGCTATTTTTGATGGTTGTCGGCCAAAAGTCACGTGGAGGCAGAAAATTCGGGACAATTTCACTATCACGTGACATTTGGCCCGCATTACATAACACCAACAAATTTTCGGGGGAATCTTAACCTATTCCAGGGGTTTATGCTCTTTATCCTGGTAAAATTAACTACAGTTAATTAACCATAGTTCAGTAATTAACCTCTATCTCTATGGACTGTGCCACTGATCTATTGTTTATTGTATGTATACTACCATATTTCATTGGTTAAAATTGATGTTATTATTAATGGATATATATCATGAGCATCCTTAATTTACATATCATATGTATAATATTAATATATCAGATATACCAGTGTCTGAAATTCAAATTTTAAATCATGTGCAGAATGCATACATTAGAGATCCTGGGCGAAACCAAAATATTTAGTCATTTGACTAAACTGAAATAGTTTAGACATTTAAAATTAAAAGACGAAATGCCAAAATTCAATATTCCATAATATTTCCATGGATTTTTTATAGATTTCCATGGATTTTTAATTATAATAATTACTTATAAAAAAAAAATAATAAATTTATATTAAAATATAATACTTTTTAAAGGAATTTATAAAACTGTTTTATGTATAATATAATTTAATATATTTTTATAATAAAATTATAATTTTATATAATTAAAATTTAAACTTAAAAAATATTACTATATAGTTTAGTCAATGACGAAGATAAAACTAGTTGGTGACAAAACTGAAATTTTTGGCAAAAAGAGTTTAGCCAGGTATCACTAGCACACATTATTTGAAATTTTTATGTTGCAATTTCTAAATAATGTGCAAAAAGCATTTTTTTGTGCATAATTTATTTTCCAATAAATGATACTTAAAATTTATAAAAAATACGTGAAATTGTAAAAACCTTTATTATATTATAAGTTTATAAAAACACCAATAAAACACCATTATTCTTATGTTATAAGATAAAAAATTCAAACATTATTAGTATTTACTTGACGTACATATTCATTTTTTCATTGATTAAATGCTTTATCCCAATTAAAATCTTCAATATTATCAGAAGTATTGTTAAATGCATATCTAATGTTTCAACATTTAACTTATTACATAATCTAGTTTTTGTTAACTTGTGTTGAGAAAACACTCTTTCTACATTTGCATTCAAAAGTAGCACAAATAGAACAATATTAACCAAAATATTAATATTAGAAAATTGATTTTTAAATTGAGAACAAGTACTCCAAACATGATGCCATCCCTCAATTATTATATTATAATTTTTCATCAATTTCATGTATTTAACCATCTGCCATTCCTTTTTACATTCTGAACTATTAATTAATGGCTGAACTATTATACCATTTGATTTATGTTTTTGATTTCCAAAGTATTCACATAATAATTTAAGTTTTTCTATTCCATATAAAGATAATACACTTTTTTGTAATGGTAGTTTTTTTGGATCTAAAATTTTTATAGAATCATATAAATCATTATGTGAAAAATGGGCTTGTAAGCTTTGAACAATTGCCTTTGCAAAATAAACAATATCATCTGATATATAATTATTATAAAATGGGTTTTTTTGTAAATATTGCTGTAAATTTGTTTTATATATAGGTGGTTGATTATTAATACTGATGAATTGAGTTTTTATTATTGCTATAGTAGCATCTAATGAAGATTTAACTTTTAACAGAGAAATAATATCTTGTTAGAATGTTTTACCTAAAATAGTGAGAAGATATGTTAAATCTATCATATACATCGTTGAGATTTTAAATTTAGCATCTATCAATTCTAATAATTTTTTAGCCTAATCCCTATCTTTTTAATAATCACTAGCATTTAGATTGTCAAAATTTAAAGTATTAATTATTGAATCCAAAATTTGATATAAATTTTTAACTACATTAGATAAAGATAATTAACGTGTATTGATAATATTTAATATTGCCAACTGTGAATTATCATTAGCATAGCGGACATGCTTATATCACCATGCCAATCATTTTGCTGATCATATATATTTTTCAAACTTCAATAAACAATATCTCGAAATTCAGTCATCCAATTTTGATAAAGTTGTGCTCATTGGATTCGCCTCATCGAGACGAGTAAAATGGTGGTATTTTCATTAATTTTGGATAACTAGATGCCAAGATATTCACGATTTTGTATTTCTATTATGAATTATCACATTATATAAAATCGGCCGATCTGGCTTGGCTACACCGATATACATTCGGCCGGGCTATAAAAATTGATAAATTTAAGTTTTTTAACGATATAGAATAAAATAATAAACCTTATTCATTACTAAAATTGATATTTATTAATTTTATATATAAATTTTTAGTATTTAATTAGGAAATTTACTATTTTTAGACTTTAAAACTTTGTACAAAGCCACAGACTTTTAAGCCAACTCTGAAATTTTCATCATATATTTGTTAACCATTTAGAAATATATGGTGAAAAAATGGCATTCTAATTCGCTTGAAACCAAAAGTTACCTATATACTATATTTAGTCAATTTTAATAAATTTGCAATTTTTAGACTTCAAAGTTTTGTACAAAGCCACAGACTTTTAAGCCAACTTTGAAATTTTCATTATATATTTGTTAACCATTTAGAAATATATGGTAAAAAAATGGCATCCTAATTCGCTTGAAACCAAAACTTACTTATATGTTATATTTAGTCAATTTTAAATAATATATGATTATTTGATTTTAAAACTTTATATATTTTCTAAAATTTATTTTTGTTTACTATTTTAAAAATATAAGATAAAATTAATTATTTTAAAAGTTTTCTATATGTTATATTTTATCAGTTTTTTTATAAATAGACAAAAAAATTGCTTTAGCAAAATTAGAAAATCCAATCCAATTTAAAATAAAAAAACAATATTTTTTTAAATACTTTCATAATTTTTAATTATAAAAAATGGATAACACTTCTACTTTTTCAAATATTTGCAATTTTGATTCCATTGAATGTAATGAAAGAATAAAGCCAATCACTTATAACACTAAAATACCAAAATCTACTAAATTAATTATTTCAGTTGGAATGTATTTATGCCAAATACATTACAATCAATTTATTTTAAATGAAACTAGAAATATTAATTATAATAAGAGTTGTGAGCATACAAAACATGATGAATATAAAAATCAATCAAAAAATACAAAAAAAAAATCAAGCAAACTTAATCTTAAAAAGGTTCCAAAAAGATTAATTGAAGTTTTAGAATTAAATGAATCTTCAGAAATTTGTAGTATGTGTAGAAATAAAACTGATAAAGATTCTGAATATTTACAAAATGAAAAATACAAAGCACCTATTCCAATTAAAAAAAACAATTTAAATGATAATGATAATTTACAAGATGAATCAATAGAAACTATACAAGATGAACTAATAGAGGCTATACAAGATGAATCAATAGAAGTTATACAAAATGAATCAATAGAAGTTATACAAAATGAATCAATAGAAACTAAACAAATAAAAACTTGTCAACATCCAAAACATGATGAATACTTAAATCAATCAAAAAATACAAGCAAACAATTTAGACTTCAAAAAGTTCCAACAAGATTAATTAAAGTATTAGAATTAGATGAACTTGCAATGATTTGCAGTATGTGTAAAAAAAAAACTGATAAAGATTCTCAATATTTACAAACTGAAGAATATAAAGTACCAATTTCTAGAAAAAATAATAATGACAATATATCAAAAATAGGAAATCATACTTATTTATTTAGAAAAGATATCTTATATACTGGAGAAGAATTACAACAATTTGAATCAGATTATCAAGAAATTATGACACAATTAAAAATTTCAAGTGAAATTAAATTAAGTAGTAAAATAATAAAAATGTCTAATATTCTTTATAATAATCAACATAGATTAAATCTTAAACCTATTTATGATCCAATAGCTTTTAAAACTATGTTAGAAACAGCTGATAAAGATTTAATTGGATTTTTTGATGAATTATATGTTGGAACTAATCCTAATACTAAATCTGAAACAACAAATAATAACAACAAAAAAAAATTAGTTTCTTTATGTTATTTTTTAGCTAGCATTAATAATAAATATATTAATGGAATTAAAGTTGATATTGGATCATACTTGGAAACTTCTGGAGCTTCTTCTTCTTCTATTGATACATTGGCAAATATAGGAGTTTCAGTAACAAGAAAAACAGTAAATCGTAAAAAAAATTTTATTTCAAATGAACACCAACAAACTGTAGATAATTATTGTTTACAAAATATAGAAAATATGTTTATTCTTAATATAGATGATTACCATAATATTCATAGGCGTAATCAACAAACATTGTTACAAACTCACAATATTTATCATTTTGTAACAATATTATTGAATACAAATACTAAAATTTCAAAAATACCATTTTATTCATTAAATAATTTTTCAATACATAATCCTAAAGGAATTGATTCTGGATTAATTATTAATAACATTAAAAATAATTTTATGAATCAATTAGGTAAAAGTTATTATATGCAAAAAGAATTATGGAAAAATTTTTTAATTGAAGATTCTTATGAAAATAGAGTTGAACTACTTAATATTCATAATTATGATGGTAGAATTCAAAATTACCATGAATTAAGATCAATGTCTAATAGCAAATTAGTAGACTTTATTTTGCATCCTTTACAAAGTACTAAGGATTATATTGAATGTTTAGATTATGTATTTAAAGCATTTGAAAGATTAGAAAATATTGAAGAAAATTATTTAAATAATTTTATCATTCCTGTAATTGCTGATTGGCCAGAACAAGTAAATATAAGAAGAGCTATAACACTTAGAATTAAGAAAGGCATTAATTCTGGAGTTCCAGAGCAAGTGTTAAATTTAATTCCTATGATAGGTCCACTTCATGTCTCTTTAAACAGCAGAGAAATACTATTTCAAACATATCATTTCTTTTTTGAGATGCTATATCATAACTTATTTGGAGATAAAAAAATATTATCTCAAAAACCAAAACAAACAGTAATCAATCTTATTTTACATTTAACTTATCATGGATGGAAAAATATTCGTGATATTGTTACAAAAAGATTTGGAAATTTAAAAGATGCAGAATATCAAATGATGATAGATTTATTAGATAATTCTATTCCACTTACTTTGGATATATATGCAATACTTTTTAGAAGTGGATTTTTTGAAGGATATTTAGAAAGTACTGTAAAAATTTGGATATTATTTCAAAGATTGAGAAGACATAATTATAATAAAGCACCACTTATGTTTTTAAGTGATGTATTTTATTGGACTTCAAAAAATCATCCAATAATTAATATTTTAAAAAATAATTTACCAATTTTTAATGATTATTTTGTTGAAAATTTTCATAGCTCTTTAAGGCATCAAACAGCAGAATCAAATTCAGAGTTACAAATTATACAAAAAGCAAAAATTATTGATGCTGAAAGAAATAATAATCCTTTTAAAAATTCTTTTGTTAATTTGAGAAATCCAGCTAAGTCTCAAATTAAAGAATTAAAATCTTTAGAAAAAAAGGTTTCATTATTTTTATTCTCAATATTTGATAAGATTCATCAGAATATAGGAAATACAAAACAAATTAATAATGATAGATATCCAAAATTTTATCTTCCAAGTTTTGATATTGAAGTGGATGTAAAGGTACTTCCTTTAGGCTGGAATACACAAAAAATACCAGCAGATGATAAATTTTGTGATGCAAATAATTGTTTATTATCAAATAGTATAGATTTATCTAATGGAATTGTTTTACTTTGTGGACACAGTTTTCATAAAGAATGTTTAAGTACTTTATATGATGATAAATGTAATTTTTGTTTTGATTATTTATCATCTGGAATTGAGAAAAATATTAAGAGTTTGGATCAAAGATTGTCGACATCATTAAAAGAAAATGAAATCCCTTTATTTGAAAAGGAAAATAATAATGATGATGAAAATGATGAAGAAGAGAATATTGAAAACATATTAGAAAGAATAGAATGTGATGTAGAAAATCAATATGATATAATGTATCAACAATGGTTAAATTATAATGATATATAATTAGTATTAATATAATAATTTTTATTAAATTGCAAAAGTCACTTTATTGAAATTTTTTAATAATAAAAATTAATATTTTATTTTGATTAATGAAAATTAATGAATTATAATTGTATAATTACTCCAACTAATAAGATAAATTATATAATAAAATAATTAGAAGATTCCGAATGCAAATATCTCAAGATATATAACTCCAAATTTTGTAAAATAAAGATGATCGGATTCATCAAGTCCTAAGCTTTCTAAAAAGCTAAAAATCATAAAATTCTGATCACTGGATGCTGAGATAACTGAGATTAACTTTAAAAAAAATCTAATATTAAATGTGATATGATAAAATAGTGATCAACAAATGATCGGCAAATGATCAGCAAAATTGTGATAAAATAGGGATGTCCGCTATGCTATTATCATTTGACTTTTGAATCATTTTTAAATTCAACATTCTCTTATAGGATCCGCTAAAATATAAATATAATTCCTTGCATATAGCTTCATATTTTTTAAAATACTGAACTTTATTTGCTGTATCCTTTCCAGTCAGATGAAATTTATGAGATATGCAATACAGTCACCACTAGTTATAACAAACCTGTTTGTACCAAAAACTGTTTGTACTGACACAGGTCGAAAAGTGAAAAATCAG